CGACCTGCTTTTACGTTTTTATAGAATTTAAATCTTCCAATTGATAAATTTTATTTTTTTAATCAGCCTTTAGTGTATCAGTTAAAGCTAGCTGTAAAATACTTGATTTTATGTGGAATGCCAAATTACTTTGTAAAATCTTTTTTTTTTAGTTAGTTGAAGGAAATTTTTCACGAAATTATTAATTAAGAATTTTAAAAATATTCTAAGCTGATTTTTGAAATTTGATGTTTTATCCGGGGGCGTACTTAGGAATTGGGGTTATTTTTTGTCTTTCAAGGGGGGACTAAGCACCCATTGAGGCCCCAAACCCCCTGAAAACCATAGATTTCACTGATCCAGGGGGTGGAGAGTCCCAATCCCTTAAATTCACCTCTTGTTTTAATCTAGAGCTAATATTTTAATTCTAGGAAAGCTTGGAGAATAATAGATTGGAAGTTAAAGATCATATTTTGGATCTCAACAAACAGATTCAATCAGAGAAGGAGGCTCGTATACAGAGGTAATATAAAGGAATCACAGACTACACAGACGACATGCTATGTTTTTACTATAGGTTTTTAGATTCCCATCTCACGGCCACTTGAACATAATACACATTCAGGGGTTAAGTTTTACAACTTTTACAGAAATACTCCAATTTTGAACATGAAACATAACATTTATGAATTCAGTCTTTTTGGAAGATTTTGTGTTTCGTATCCAAAGGATCCTTAAATATCCCTGAATACAGATGTTTGCTGATCTGTCGTGTACAGTACTTGTACACAATAGAACATGATGTGGAAAATATCGCATATTATAGCTGATAATCGATCTCTGTAACTCTCTTATCTCTGAAAGGGAATTTACACGAATTCTATAAGGGATGGAAGACGTAACTTCACGTGACTCTCCACTAAAGTGGCATATTCGATTCACAACAGAACCCTCAAAGGCTTGATCCCATTGATGTATTCTTAGACCCCTTTGTAAATCATAAGGTCAATTAAAATGACAGTCCTTCTTAAGTGTAATAAAACAAAATTAAAAATTAATGATAAGTAAAGGGTTTTACTAATCTATTTCATTAGTATTTTACCTTGTATTTTAATTTGTAGTGAGGGTATTCTGAAAGCCGACCTAGAAGAAAATTTGAAGAAGGTTAAAGATGATCTTGATACAGAGATTGATAACCTTAAAACTGAAATTGAAGACGCAAAAGATAAACTTGAGGAAGACATTGGTAAGTTCAAACTTATCCGGAAATAAAAAAAACATTTCTGTAAAAATTGTAATGACCCCCCCCCCCTCCCATGTATGATCTTTAACCCTAAATAGGTGGGGCTTGACGCCCCCTGTCCTAGACCAAAACCTTTTTGTGACTAAAGCTACAGATCTAAAATTTATTGTTTTGAAAAGCCTTTGAAAAATGGATGTAAGAACTTGTCACACTTTGATATTTGTTTAAAATAAAATAATAATTCTTACATTTCTTCACCATTTTTTTTGGTATTTTTCAACCCTTCCTTACGACTAAACTATTACAGTTATCGATTTAATTTTTTTTTCAATGAGCTGGCCTTGAAAAAATGGACTATGAACAAAGAACATGCATTTCAACCCAATACCTATTCTCTAAGGCCTTTTTCTGTCCTCCAAGCCTTTATAGAGTTAAGGTGAAATAAGTGCTTTTTTATTGTTTCAGGGCTTTGCCCCCCCCCGCCATTGCTTACTCTGAATGTCCCCCACACCTTACACAAATTTTAGTTCTGTGCCGGATAGTTCGATAGGTTGAAAAATTCTTACTGTAATCTCCTGATGTAGGAAGACTCGGAGCTGAGTTCGAGTCTGCTACTGGTGATATCAACGCCAGACTAGAGCAGGAAACTGTGAAAAGGAAAGCCGAAGGAAATCTGATTAAGAATGGGTTGGAGGAGGAGAAACTACTCAGGGGTCAGGAGAATGAAATTATGAAGAAGAGTTTAGCTGATTCTGTCCAGGTAAATTTTTCAATTTAAAAGTTTCCACTCTGTTTATCTTATTTCCCACAAAAACAAACTTTTAAAGAAGAGAGGGGGGAGATACCAAGAATTGTGTTGGATAGATTTTAGATAAATACAAACATGGTTTGAACAGAATATAAAGCGGACTTCAGCCATACAAACTTCAATTAAAATTCAACACATAACTTACTTCTTCCACAAACTATAAATAAGTCTTCAAAACATTATTAATAAATTTAAAAAAAAAATCTTATAAAATTTGTTCCGTAACATTTTTTTCTCATACAGAGTTTAAGCTCATCAGCAATAGATATTTCTTGAACACATTTTAGTAAAAATTGAAAACAGGGCAACTTTCTTAGCTATCTTAGCACACAGACTGCCAAGAAAAGCTGTCTCGATTTTTAAAACTGGGTCGCAACCATACAGTGTCGCAACCTTTCAGTGTCGCAATCTTACAGTGTCGCAATCTTATACTAACTCACAAATACTTTTGTTTAGCACGAGACATGTACATTTTAATTCTGTAAAGCAAATGTTTTTAGCTTTAATTTTTAGGAAGTATTACAAAATTATCATTAGTTGTTGTGTGAGAGTCCAACCTTTGGATAACTGTAAACATAGCATATTATTTAGCTTTAGTTATTTTTTATAAAAAATACAAACAAACTTGATGAAAATATATCTAAGAGTTTTAAAATATATCTAAGAGTTCTAAAATATATCTATGCAAAAAAAATATACAACGGTATATTTGTCCTTTTTAAAAATGTATTATAGGTAATGCTTTATTTATCGCAAAATCCAGTTATATAGTAAAAATGTTTGCAAAAAAAATTTGTCCCAAAATTGAAAAATTATACATTTTTGAAAAGCCCTTGACCATGCCATTTCAAATATGCAAAAATATTTGCAAAATTTTAAATAACCTAATTTTTAATCAAGAAAAACTAAAAATGTGCAAATTTCATTTGACAGGTTGTTTGCAAAAAATTTGCAATTTTTTTAGCAAAACTTGTGCAATTCGTTTTCTTATGTCAAAGGCTTTCCAAAAAGCTAAATTTTATCAAAATCTGACAAGCGAAAGTGGGTCAAAACAAAGATTTAGTTTGTTACAGGAAAAAGCAGTCATTCAGGCATTGTGTCTGAGGACTCAGCCAGTTAGTATTGTAGCCCTGTTTTAGGCCTAAAGGATACAGAGTACAGAGTACAGAGTACAGAGTACAGAGTACAGAGTACAGAGTACAGAGTACAGAGTACAGAGTACAGAGTACAGAGTACAGAATACACAGTACAGAGTACATAGGAAAAATTAAAGAGTACAAATAACAGAGAACAAAAAAACAAAGTTTAAAGTGAAGAGTTCACAGTAAAAAGAACAGAGCCCGAAATTCAAAAGAGTATCGTAGAACAAAACTCCCAAGTTTCCTTTTTGGGGTCTTAATATTTGTGTAGATTTTGATTAAAGGGATTTAAAAAATGGAGTATATAAAGAAATTAAATGAAAAAATAATTCATAACAAAATATTGATATCCACAAAACTGCCTAACCACATTCTTGAAACCCGGGTTTCAAAACGATATACCCTGCATCTTAAGGGTTTCATAGTGCAAAGTACAGAGTACTTGGTGCAGAGTACAGAGTACAAAGTTCAGAGTAAGGATGAAACAGTGAATAAAGTACAAAGTACTGCAAAAAAGTCCAAGTCCATGAGTATAAAATGAGTTTTACTGTTGAAATTATATTCTGAAAATAAGAAAGTAGAAAGTATGGAATTATTAATAGTTTGATCGCAGGAACCATCTCAATATTCTAATAGTTTGATCGCAGGAACCATCTCTATATTCTAATAGTTTGATCGCAGGAACTATCTCAATATTCTAATAGTTTGATCGCAGGAACCATCTCTATATTCTAATGAAATTAAAAGCTAAAATAATACCAAGCTAAAACTGTTTCGTAGTAAAGTGTTGCATGACGGATAAAGTGTAAATTCTTGAATGAATTTAAAATATTTTAAAAGAATCAAATTCAACGTTTTCTTAATCATGAAAAACAATATTCGACGACTTTTTTTATACTTCATTTTAATTATGAAGTCTTTAATATTTACGCATACTTATAATAAACTTTAAATAAAATAGATATTCAGCTTTTATTAAAAATGAAAAAAAAACTTTGCCACTTTTGTAACCTGAAGTCTTAGAACTTTAATATTTCAAACAGACAAATATTTAAAATACCAAAAACTACAATATGGAAAGCAATAAATGCCAGAATTATAACTCAAATTGAGGACATTTTATCCAGAATAACGTTATCGATTTTAATATTTTTTATTTTTACTTTTTAAACAATATTGATTCAACAGAAGATTAAAGATTCATTTTCTGAATGCGCGACATTTCAAAACGATTTTCCCGTTTTGTAAATCGATTTTACAAACAAAATGTTGGTGTTTCTTTTAGATTTATTAATAAGTTTGTTTGTTTAGGAAATGGAAAATGGATTGCTGGAAACAAAACAGGAAGTTAAAAATATGCTGGAAGAAGAGAAGGACGAAAGAGCAGGACAAAGTCAGGTGAAACAATGAAGAAATACCGCCCCCCCCCC